TAACAACCGAATGGGCCACTGCAATAATTAATGGGTCTCTTCAGGAGGGCAAGGTACCCCTTGCCTTCAAGGAGACACTCATTAGGCCCATTAGGAAGAAACCAAATTTGGTGACAAATGACATTGGCAATTATAGGCCCGTCGCCAATGTTTCTTTCCTTAGCAAAGTGGTTGAGAGGGCGGTGGCAGATCAGCTCCAGGCGTTCTTGGACAAAACCAATGCCCTGGACCCATTCCAGTCGGGCTTCAGGCCGCGCTATGGTACAGAGACGGCACTGGTCGCACTGATGGATGACCTGTTGAGAAAGGCCGATGGGGGCAATATGTCCTTGTTGGTCCTCCTCGACATTTCGGTGGCCTTTGATACCATCGACCACGGTATCCTCCTGGGGAGGCTCTCTGAGTTGGGAGTCGGTGGCCTGGCGCTTGCCTGGCTCCGTTCCTTCTTGGGGGACCACCCCCAGAGAGTCCAACTTGAGGAGAGTGTCTCAGCCCCGTGGAGCCTCAACTGTGGGGTCCCACAGGGGTCAATCATCTCTCCAATGCTGTTTAACATCTATATGAGGCCACTAGGTGGGGTCATCAGGGGGTGTGGGGCATCGTGTCACCAGTATGCTGATGACATACAGCTCTACATCTTTTCATCTACCTCAGTGGATGCCATCCTGTCCCTTCAGCGCTGCCTGGAGACTGTATTGGAATGGATGCAGTCGAACGGGTTGAGGCTGAACCCGGACAAGATGGAAGTCTTGAGGGTGGGTGGTCCTTCCATCAGCAGTATAGGCAACTCCCTTTCTTTTGGGCGGACAACCCTCACCGCAAAGAGTGAGGTCCGCAGCTTGGGGGTACATCGACCCGGCGCTTACCATGGAAACCCAGGTGGCGTCCGTGGTCCGCTCCGTCTATTTTCATCTATGACGGATTGCCCAGCTGAGACCTTATCTTGATGGGGGACCCCTAACTACTCTAGTCCACACGCTTGTAATCTCAGGATTAGACCATTGTAACACACTCTGAGTGGGGCTACCTTTGAGGCTGACGCGGAAACCTCAGATGGTCCAGAATGCGGCAGCCAGGCTCCTTAGTGGGGTGAGAAAACACCAACATATCTCCCCCACTCTGGCTGCTCTGCACTGGTTGCCCATCCATTTCCGCGTCGACTTCAAAGTGCTAATGATCACTTATAAAGCCCTAAACGGTTTGGGACCTCAGTATTTGGCAGATCGTCTTCTTCCACCCAGATCTACCCGAATCACCCGTCATTGCCAGCAGGGACGGCTGAGGGGTCTGACGCCGAGAGAGGCTCGGAAGGAAAAAACTAGAAACCGGGCCTTCTCGGCGGTGGCCCCTCAGCTGTGGAATGCCCTCCCAACAAAAATTCGGCTGGCACCCTCGCTGGGTGTTTTTAAAAGCCAGTTAAAAACTTGGCTATTTAAGCAGGCCTTCACTCCAGTCAACTAAGTCTTTCTTTTTTTCTCCTCCTCTTTTCTTATTCTATCCCATCTTGGTACTCCTTTCTTAAACTAATTGCCTTAATTAATATTGTAATTGTATTTTTACATTTTTTATATTGATCTATTTTATGCTGTAAGCCGCCCTGAGTAGACGTGGTCTAGAGGGGCGGGGTATAAATTTAATAAATAAACAAATAAATAAATAAATTTCTGTACATTTTGCAGGTACTTCAAAATATACACCTGTTGAAGCAGATTGACCACTGGTCTCAAAAGCGGACAAGGATTGAGTTCTGGAAAAAGTGCCATGAGAACTATGTGAGAAATGGAATCTCAAACCAAGCTGCCTCCAATTTTTTTTCAGCTCAGGCAGACTTTGTATCTGAGTCATTGGATGACAACAGAACATCAAGCATTCTGGAGAGACAGCTTCTCCTTACCTTGGCTGGTCACTGGCTAGCCAGAGCTCACCCTGTCCCACTAAATGATCTTGAACAAATAGAGAAAGAGATCTGGCTTTGCCGCATCATACAACAGACTTTGAGCCACAGCACAGGGCAGGCCAGCCATACTGCTGTGAGTGGCGAGCTATCCTTTGATTCCTTAGTAAAGGAGTTCTCCTTTTCCAAGATAGCTGCATTAAACATGCACAAGTACTTGGAGCTTGAGAGCTTGCCTTCCCAAGGTGCAGTGCAAACCACACTTTCTGATGCTGAAACAGAATCATTGAGTTTTCTTATTGGACGCCTTCTAGATGAAGGAAATGTGCATGAGGCCAGCCGTGTTTGCCAATATTTTAAATTTTACAGCAGAGATGTCTCATTGGTCTTGCACTGCAGAGCACTTGCTGCTGGGGAAACCCCTCTAAGCTTGTTTCACCCAGAGATTCAAGTTCTCATTGCAGCACAAAAAAGAGAAGAAAACAAAGAGAAGAATGGGGAAGAGGCACCTAAGAAACGACCGCATAGCAGTAAGTATCTGAAACTGTGGACCACATGATTTTGACGACAGCATCTAAGAGATCCATGCATTCTTTCTTTGCAATGAGTACCTTTTTGTCTGCCGTTTTGTTAAGAAAGAACACTGCTGTTCTGGAACAGATATGTGGAAATGTGCCACTGTGGCCAGAGGTCCAGGAAGGTTCAGCACCTCATCAAATGCAGTTCCCATGCAGGTGTAAATACAAGGAACTTTCAGAATAATTCCCCTGTCATTGTTCTCATGTTCACCCTTTTCAGCCAGGCAGCAGCGCTTTTATTTTACTTACTCCCATTACTTCTACAAGAGGTTGCACTCTTTGTGGAAGCGGCTGAAATCAAACCTGAAATATCCATTTCTCCAGAGACCCACAGGTTCCTCCAGTTCCAAAGGCACAGTTAGACTCCTGGATCATGATAAGGGGGCAGCAGAATGAGCATTGAGGCTAGAGGAGAGAAAGAAGGGGAGCCCATGTTGGATTAGGCAGGGGGAGTGCTCAGTAGGTATGAGGCGGGGCATGGTGTGTCCAGGGCCCATCAACCCTGGCAATATTACTGAGTAGATGAGATTGGAAAGAACAGCTTGTTTTTGATGTTAGTAATTCTTAGAAACATCTATTTTCTCACAATAAGTCTCATACGCCATATTTACAATCATACCTTTCAAAGTTGGCATCATTTTTTTCAGAAATGAGAAGAAATAGGGATGCTGTTTGAACAAACAGCAGCTGTCAAACCTACAGTTCAATGCATTTCAATGGGGGGGGAATTCACCAAAAATTAACGAAGACTCAGAACAAAGCCAAATTAAGTTCGCAAAGGTCTTACAGGGTGCACTAACGATTCCAAGCATTTTAAACAGTTTTTGAACATTTTAAGACACTTTAAAAATAGCGAAAACGGACTTGTCAAAACCATTGGGGAACCGCATTTCGCTTAGCGATGTTTCCTATGGCGGGTTTCACTTAAGGACGGTAATCCGTTCCCATTGGAACGGATTATCCGGTTTTCAATGCATTCCTATGGGAAATGGTGTTTCGCTTAGCGATGTTTTCCCATAGCGATTTTTTTTAACCAATTAACATCGCTAAGCGAGGCACCACTGTACTTTAATTGGATTCCTGCACTGAGCAGAGATTTGTGCTCAGTGGCTTTACAGGCCCCTTCCATCTTTTCTAAATTACTACCATGTTTCCCCGAAAATAAGACAGGATTTTGCTTTGAAAAACGCATTAGGGCTTATTTTCAGGGGAAGTTTTATTTTTTTCCATGTACAACTATCTACATTTATTCACATGCAGTCATATTGTTTTCTTCTGGTTGCTACACAATGCTGCACAATGGTGGAGGAGGGGATTTCACTTGTCTCAGGCTTTTTTGGGGGTAGGGTTTATATTACAAGCCCTAATTATGGGACATCTCAAATAGTGTCTGTAGTCCCATCCACTTCTTTCCACCTAAAGTGGATCGCCCAGCTACGTCCCTATCTTGACACATGGTCCCTCACCACGCTGGTCCATGCGCTGGTAGTCTCAAGATTAGACTAGTGTAATGCCCTCTATGTGGGGCTGCTCTTGGGACTCCTACGGAGACTGCATCGGGTTCAGAACACGGCGGCTAGATTGCTGAGTGGGGTTAGAAAATACCAACATTTCCCCCACCCTGGCCTCCTTACACTGACACTTCCATACCAGTTTCAAGGTGATGATATTAACCTATAAGGCCCTAAATGGTTTGGGACCTCGCTATCTGGCCGAGCGCCTCCTTCCAGTTAAGTCTGCCCATCCTATAAGATAGTTGCAGGCAGGATGGCTGAGAGTTCTGACCCCGAGAGAGACCCGGAAAACAACGACTAGAAATTGGGCCTTTTCAGCGGTAGATCCATAATTATGGAACTCTCTTCCACCTGAAGTCCACCTGGCCCCTCCCCTGGGCACATTCAAAAAGCTACTAAAAAGCTGGCTGTTTAAACAGGCCTTCCCTGAACAAACTACACTCTCATACAATAATATAACTCTATCATACTGCCATGCTCCACGTTCTTAATTTTTTTTACGATTTATTGTATTTATTGTATTGTAATTTTATCTTTACCACACTTTATGACTTTTGATTTTTGCCCCTATGTACAGTATTGATGTTGTTGTTGCTATTTTGTTACTTTGTTGTTTTGTTACTTGTTGTAAACTGCCCAGAGTGGCCTTCGCTGCCAGATAGTCTGTAAATGAATGAATGAATGAATGAATGACTGAATGAATGAATGAATGAATGAATCAATGAATGAATGAATGAATGAATGACTGAATGAATGAATGAATGAATGAATCAATGAATGAATGAATGAATGAATGAATAAGAGGATCCTGAAAAATCATACTAGGGCTTATTTTCAGGTTAGGTCTTATTTTCGGGGAAACAGGGTGGAGTTATGACGGATTTAGTCCCTGCAGCTTGAAATAGTTCTATTGATATCCTAACTACACTTCTTTCTTCCAGGTCATTTCAAAATAGCTTTTACTTTGCTTCTTAAATCACAGGTTCTTCATCATCAAAATAGTCTGTTGTTCATTTATCTCTTTTGGGTAGGTCTTCAATATATTGCTTCCACTCATTTTTTAAATCCTGGTCAGATATTGTTTTTTCTATTAGTCTTTCAATGTTCTTTATCTAGGTTTAAATTTCCCTTGGAATTTTCTGAATCTTCTGGAAGTGATCTCTCCCCCCCTCCCTTTTGTTGTTCTGTTCTATTGCTTTGCATTGGCTGTTGTAATAGTTTTCTTTTGAGTCTACATAATAGTTGCTAAAATGTTGCATTCAGGATTCTGACCCTACTTTTGTCACCTTTTACTTTTGCTTCTCACCTGTCCTTAACAAGTTCAAGTGCTTTTTCAGTCATCCTAGTAGACTTTTCTTTTTCGTGCACAAATATTCTTTTTGCATCCTTTTCTGATAATATCTCTGGTTTCAATCCATGGTTCTTTTAGTTCATATTCATCTGAGTTCAGTAATGCAAATCTGTTCTTCATGTGTACTTTAAATTCCTCAGAAATGTTGTTTGAACTATATTTTGGCACTAGGATTCTTTTTGTATTCTTCTTTTGGAATTACTCTTAAGTTTGATATTTACAGTTCGTTATCAGTACCACAATTTGTTCCTTGCGTTTTGACAGAGAGAATACAACTTCTCCATCTCCTATTCTCTATTATATAGTCTATTTGATTATATAATTAATTATATAGACAATTATATAGTCTATTGACCATCTGAAGCTGTCACATGTATAGTCATCTGTTTGGTTGGATTCACAGAATTCTATGAGTTATTCTCCTGCTTTGTTTCTGATCCGTAAGGTCAAAGTAACAACATTTTGTTCTTTGTTTCCTGCTTTTGCATTTCAGTCACCTATGATTAACATATTTTGTTTCTGTGCGTCTTCAGTTTCCTTCTGGATGCTTGCATTTTTATTATTTCTTCAGCAAAGTTAGAGCATAGACTTGAATTATAGTTACAGTGGGACCTCGACTTACAAACATCCCTAACTACGAACATATCAACTTACGAAAGGCTCCATTTGCAAAAATTGGCATTGACTTGCAAATAGAGCCTCAACCTACGAACAAAAACAGCGTGGGAAAAGGGTGTTTCCCCTGCCTTTTTGAACAAAAACAGCATGGGAAAAGGGTGTTTCCCCTGCCTTTTTGCCTTCGGGGGTCGACGCTCCGTTCGTAAGTCGATGCCATTTTTCCTGAATGGAGCAATTGGCACCTTTGGAGGTCTCCCTGACATTGGAGGAAGCCCTTTGAGACCTCCGAAGGCAAAAAGGCAGGGGGAAAGGGCTGGAAATTCGAATTTCCAGCTTTTTCCCCCTGCCTTTTTGCTTTTTTTCTTCCCTTGGAAAGCATTGTTTGGTTTTCAGTGCATTCCTATGGGAAATGGTGCTTCAACTTAAGAACATTTCAACTTAAGAACACAGTCCCAATAGGGATTAAGTTCTTAAGTCTAGGTAAGTTAATAGATTTTCCAAGAAACCCAACTGATCTTATTTGGTCAAACTTCGTATTATAGCCCCTAACTGCCTGTGTTAATAGACTTTCCAAGAAACCCAACTGATCTTATTTGGTCAAACTTTGTATTATAGCCCCTAACTACCTGTTCTACATCTTGCCTCGGCATTAAAGCCATTTTGTTTCTTCTGAATTCATCATTTCCAGAGTAAAATACTTCATAGTTGTCTCACTGAAAATGTCAGATTTCAGTCCACTTTAATGACACCAAGTACTGCAGTGTTTAAAAGTTCCATTACTTGCTTTACAGTTTCCAATTTACCTTGATTTATTCTTCTCATGTTCCATGTTCCAATTGTATGTATTGTGCAACATCAGACTTTCCTTTCATCTCTGTGCGCATCAGCCTCTAGATGTCCTTTCAACTGTAATCAAGTTGCGTCATTAGTAAGAGTGCTGTTCGTAGTTGTCCTTTCCTAGTACCTGATTTAGTGCCTTCTGACCAGGGAGCCTCATATTCTAGCAGCATCTATTTTCATTTTTGGCCTGTCTCATCACAGGGCCTTCAGGGTAAGAAATATTCAGTAGTGGCTTACCATTGTCTTCTTCTGCTCAGTACTGACAAAAGTTAGCTTGAGCATCACTGCCATTGCCTACGAAGGATTCTCTGCCAGTGTCAACTTCAACTACTGTTGCTTCCCTGTAGCTGCTCTTCAGGAGTTTCTCTGCATTCATCATCATCAGAACTGTCTGCTCTTTTCTGCTAATATGAAAGAGAGTGAAGAGAGTGAATCCATCTTTGTCTGGTGCCTCAGCAGCCAACCTGGGTGATCCTACTAGGACTCCAGACTTGCAGTGGGGGTCTAGCCTCCTGAAGGCGTTGCTCTCGGCTTCTTTGAGATGCTCAAAACCCTCGTCACGTTAAGGTGTTCATTCACGAAGTGGACACTGTCAGCAATCCCCCATCTCCAAGGAGATACCGGGGATGCCGCAGAATGGAGAGATTCCAAAG